AAAATACACTTGCGGTCGTCCATGACTCAAGACAGATTGAAGTCTTTGGCTATTTTGTTAATAGAAAAAGATCTTGTAAAGAAGCTAGGTGTAGAAAGTGCCACGAAAGATTTGCAGATTTAAAGGCTATAAAAATGTTTTTGATAGGATAATGAATGTTTTCTTTAGCTTGTATTAAATTGTATATTGTAATAAACACGCTATTCTACATTTTCAGTTTTTCTCCTTGTGAAAAATGCCCAGTGTTCCAGCAACTCTAGTACTGTCACTGAATGTACTACATTATTATTATTCATTTAGAAACCAAACAATAAATAAGGCAACAATAAAAGTATAAAATTATCATCAAATATATGAGAACATTTTTTATTATTGTTTTTCTTTATTGAAAGATAAATAATAGTGGAAGAAATTGAGAATTACGATCTGAACCAATAGTCATCAGGATAAAGAAAAGAAATAACTATTGTATAAAACGTTTTCGTTCACTGATTTTTTCACAGTTGTATAACACAAAGAAGTTTCGTCCGGTAACTTCTTAACTAGAGTCTCCTAAGTACTCTTAGACTTTAAGTAAACTCTCTTCTACAAGAAGTAATAAATGATAACGGTATTCGTTTTCATGTTATGTCAGCACACACATGTGTAATGACAGTAATAACATTATCTTTTAGTACTGTTTCATCAGAAACAAAAGAAAAGTACTAAACTACTATGTAATATCAATCCTCGTATATGGCAGAGAATGGTGGATAATTTCCTCACAAATGAAGAGCTGACTTAAGACAACAGTGATATGGTTCTACAAAAGATGCTGAAAATGAACTTGGAACTGGGGGATTGCAAAAAAGTAAACATTACTTAAAGCTATAAAAGATAGGAAGTTGTGAAAACGACACCAAAAAGAAATAAGTAGTTGCAGAATTTACAAACATACATACAGTGGGCGCGGGAAATAAATATTCGTACATCATGAATTATTTATTTAACAGATTTTATAAAAGAATTCTGTAATCCATACAATATTTGTATACCATGGCACAATACTGCAATAGACAAAAAAAAAAAAAAATCAGAATAAATTGTTATATTAATAAAATTAAAAATTTGGAAGCGAAAAAAATATCCGTAAAAAATTATAATACCTATTTCATACTTTATAGAAGCTTTTAATCAATGATTTTCAATTTTTCGGAGTTCTTTTATTACCTTGAATTTTTAATAAACACCACAAATTCTCTATTGGATTCAAGTCTGTTTAGCGTCATTATCTTGTTTCAAAACTCATTCATTTGGGACCTTAAGCTTTACTACTGACCTAAACAAATTAGAGTTCAAAACATCTTGGTATATTTTTGAATTCATTCTACCATCTATTATCTCTAAATTAATCGTACCATTAGCAGAAAAACATCCCCAAACCATGATATTGCCACCACCAAATTTCACCGTTGGGTTTGTGTCATTCGGTGCAAAGATTGTGCCGTCTTTTCTCCAAACGTGGGTCCATTAATTACACCCAAATAGTTCAATTTCTGCTTCATCTGTCCATAAAAACTTTCCCAAAATAATTCAGCTTTATTCTTATGTTCACAAACAAATTTTAACCGGGCATCCCTATGTTTCTTCAATAGTAGTGGAGTTTTTCTTGGAGAACACGATCTTAGTTGACTTCTATGAAGTTCATTACTTATTGTTCGCTTCGTAACAATAAATCCTGATGCTTTTAATTCTTACTGCATTTCCCTCCGTGTAGTCATTGGATTTTATTGAATTTTGCGCTGGATTCTTCTCATTGATCTGGGAGAAATCTTGCGTCGTGCGCCAGATCTCGATTCGTTCTCAACAATTTTCACTTTTTATACTTAAAAATAACAGAACTAATAGTAGTAAATGGTACGATCAGAATATCTGCTATTTTCGTATAGGTTTTGCCTTCCTTGCAATGTTTTATGATCAATGCTTTTTGCGAAATTGATAGTTCTTTGCCTTTCCCCATGATTATAATTATTTCGTATGATTACTTTATATAAGAAATGAATTGCTGAATGTTCTAGTTTGTTCCGGTAACAAGATAATTGAAAGAATCTAGCAAAATCTTGCAAAGAATTATGTAAATAAAGGAAATCAAACCTTTTGATATTAGACATATTCTCTACGAATACTTTCGCGGTAAAATTTTATAAATAATACATGATTTCATTTATAACAAAGTTTTCTAATTGTTTTTTTTTTTGCATATTGCAGCATTATGCAATGGTGTAGAAATGTATGGATTTAAAAAATTTTCATAAGTTATAACTACGTTAATTAAAAATATCATAGTGTACGAATACTTGTTTCCCCTCACTGTATATAATAAATAATTTGGAACAATGTAGATTACTAACACGCACATAAGGTTCAAATGGCAAACCATAAACTGTCACGCCATTTGAGCGTCTACCATACCGTACACTGCATGTTCACCCGAGTATATAATTTGCTGAAGTGGATTAATTTGTTCGATTGGCTGTAAAATCTAACGGACAGTGACAGACGTCACCGGGAAAACGTGTTCATTGCGCATATAATTTACCTTTCTTTTCCTGTTTTGTGTTTCATAATGGTTTCTGCTGAAGCGCCTTATGACTTTAAACATCGATTAGTGTGTTCTACCGTTTTTTTTGCTCATATAAGGTAGAATAAAATCTATTCGTCCGAGGTAGAGTTGAACAGGTTCGAATGATTGAGAAGATGGTTGGTTGAACTTTTCTCTGCGAAGAAAGCTTTTGTATTTACCAGAGGGCAACAATTAATCGTATTCATATTTAAATAAACTAAAGTCAATAAATAACGGAAAGTGCGACACCAAAATCCGAAGACGAATTGGGTTAGCCAAAGATGCCTTGCAAAAGTCAAGCAGAGTATTAAGAGACAGAAAAACTTCGTTAGGAACAAAGAAAAGAATATTGAATTGTTACGTGATGTCTGTTCTCCTATATAGAAGTTAATGCTGAACAATCTTTTCAAAGATGAAGAGAATTGAAACATCAGAAATGTGATTCTACAGAAGGATGCCGAGGATACCATGAACGACAAAGTTTTTGAGAAAATGGAAGCCAAAAGGAAACTTATACTTAACATCAGGAAGAGATCGTTGAAATTTCTGGGACATATAATGAGGAAGGAGAGCTTGGAAAATCTGATACTCACAGGAGAGATTGGTGGCAGAAAAAAACAACGCATAACATATTTAATTACGTTGAGTAAATAGATAATTGAACAGGATTTAGAAGAAATAACAAAAAGACAAAATTTATTAAGAGCTACAAAAGACAGGAAATTGTGGAGAGTCGTGATTGTCTACGTCCTGAGGGGATACGGCACATAAATCAATAAAAGTTGGATCGACTTGCCTTTCGACCAACTTCGAAATTTCGCAGGAACATTACTCTTCAAGCTCAAATTGTGATACTTGATTTTAATTTTGATGCTTGATTTTAATTTTGATTCTTGATTCTAATTTTGATACTTGGTTTCAATTTTGATTCTTGATTCTAATTTTGATACTTGGTTTTAATTTTGATTCTTGATTCTAATTTTGATACTTGGTTTTAATTTTGATTCTTGATTCTAATTTTGATACTTGGTTTTAATTTTGATTCTTGATTCTAATTTTGATACTTGGTTTCAATTTTGATTCTGGATTCTAATTTTGATACTTGGTTTCAATTTTGATTCTGGATTCTAATTTTGATACTTGGTTTTAATTTTGATTCTTGATTCTAATTTTGATACTTGGTTTTAATTTTGATTCTTGATTCTAATTTTGATTCTTGATTTTAATTTTGATGCTTGATTTTAATTTTGATGCATGATTTTAATTTTGACGCTTGATTTTAATTTTGTTCAAATCGAAAAATCCCGATATTTGTTTAGAATTTTTTTCATTGATTGATTCATTTTTTACAGATTATCAACCATTTTCAGGATATTTAAAGCCAGAAAATATTTTTCGATTGTAAGAATTTTGTTTAGAGATAATAATGATTTACTGATACAGATCTTGCTAATTAATTCATAGCTACGGGGGTAGAAGAGGTTATTTGTGCGTAATTGAATATAACGAGCACAGCGGGAATTGGAACTCGGATCTTCCGTTAAAAATTCCGAGCCAAATTCCATTACACCACCCGCATATCAAAGCTTGCAGCACCTGGTATTCCCAAGCGGTCATTCATTTAGTTGCTGACAAGCTTCGGGTTAACTTCGGGGTTTGTATGGGAACCAGTGTTTCAATGTGATATGGCCGTAAGCCATATGTACTTAGAATTGTCATATTGCAAAAACCACATTTCAAATGTTTTGCTGAAGACTTCCGATTTAACCGCAATCTGTTTATATAAACTTCTTTTTTTTTAATCTTGTGATGAGGTCAAGTAACACTTGCAATAAAACAACTCTACAGCATGATGATTCTAGTTGCATGTTTTACTGTCAATCTTTTATATTCTATAAAGTCATAGCCGTTTATTTAGAAATACTAGAATTGTGGCTCGTATTTCTTTTTATCTAAAGATTCGAACAAACTCAAAGATGTGAAAGTTGGTGTGGTTTTGTAATACGAGATTTCAGAAACACAGAAAAGTTTAGAGGAAATTAGGAATGTTTCAGATATATAGATATCGAAATGGTGACGCGAAAGAAAAAAGTTGACGTTTGGAATAAATAGACATCATAATTAGTTTCACTTTGAGTTTTAAAATGCATTCAATAACGAGATGTGTAAGCCGAGTTCGTAAATGCACTGAAGACGTTTTTTCTTTCTTTCGAACATAGCCGGGATTTTAAGAGAACTTGCCTGCGAAAGGCCACAGGTTTAAATTATTCCACATTAATAATTTCTACTTCTACTTGAAGAAACAACAGTATTGCTCATTCAACTATTGAATAGAAGCAGATGTATACCAGTTATCTTTATTTTGTGCTTTCTTCCTTCATCGTTTTCCTTTCTTCAGGCTCTTTCTTTCTTTCTTTCTTTCTTTCTTTCTTTCTTTCTTTCTTTCTTATGTGTTTGTTTATTCTTCCGTCGAGTTATTTTTTCGATTTTTCTTTTTTTAGTTCGTGTCCTTTCTTTCTTCATCACTTTCCTTCATTCGTTTTCTTTCTTCTTTACATGTCTAGAAATACATTTTTGTGACGGACTTTGAATTGTTTAATTCATTTTCGATTCACGAATAAAAATAGAATTATAAAAGTCATCTTTCTTTCTTTCTTTCTTTCTTTCTTTCTTTCTTCCTTTCTTTCTTTCTTTCTTTCTTTGTTTGTTTGTTCTGGTATTACTTTCTTTTTCAATTTCCTCCTCCGTTTTCTTTCTTTCTTTCTTTCTTTCTTTCTTTCTTTCTTTCTTTCTTTCTTTCTTTGTGGTATTGCTTCCTTTTCCCCGTTTCTCCCTTTGTGTTCTCCCATCGTGTTCTTTGTGTGTTTGTTTGTATGTTTGTTTCTTTTTTTCTTTCTGTCTCTCTTTCATTCTTTCTTTCTGTCATGTACCTTTTTGCATTTTATCAATAAACCCATTTTTGTGACAAACTCGGATTGGTTTAATTCTCTTGAAATTATTTTCTTATATTGTAAAAGTCTCAGAATGTTAGAATTGGAAACACTATAAAATTGTTCCATTATTTTGAACCCATCGCTCAGATAAATGCATTAATACAGTATGCCATTTCTCCGAGAAAGATTAATATCATAAGAGAAAAAAAAATCATTATATTTAAAAATAAATACAAAAATAAAATTGTAGACTGGCGCTACAGAATCACAAAGAACTGTATCAAATGACAGAAACTACATCACTTGAAATCTTCCAACAGCAGCAACAATTAAAATGGCTGTCACATGTAACTCGAAGAGAAAATAATGACATAATCAAGATGTTGACTTTCCACACTACTTCAAACAAAAGGTTAGAAAGGAAACCACCATCGATACTAGAAAGAGTGATAATAGATACTGGGCTTGAAAAGAGAAAATAATGACATAATCAAGATGTTGACTTTCCACACTACTTCAAACAAAAGGTTAGAAAGGAAACCTCCATCATTGCTAGAAAGAAAGATAAGTTACTGGACTTGAAAAACCTGTTTTTTGAAAAAAATTTTGCATAGGAAGATTTTATAAATTTCAACCGAAAATAGCATTGTCTACTCGGTCAAATTATGCCGAATGTTTCCTTTAAGGAAATTGCTAATATTACCATCACTAAAGATGTACTCTCAATTACATGGCGCACCCTGTATGAGCGCGTGTGCGTGTGCGAGCGCAAACGCGCGTACAGTTATCCTCCTTGATTTAGTCTAGCACAAAGCCACACATATAGTACACTTAGTGAGCGTTGAACTTACTGCAATATAATGATCTGCTACAGTAGTAGTAACGAACTCACTACCCTAGCGTGACTAACTCTGAGTTCTCTATTCACATTCGGTGTGTCTGTGTTTATAATATATAAATATATTATGTGCGTCTTTATAATATGCATATCTATCTATCTATCTATCTATCTATCTATCTATCTATCTATCTATCTATCTCTCTCTCTCCATATATATATATATATATGTAGTATGCAACTATATGTACATTAAATTATTTTCGCCTGCTTCAAAATAATCCGCTGAAAAATAAAAGGCAGTACATATAGTTGTTTTCCAAGCGTAGCTTAGATGTGGCATAAGGCCGAAAGTATGGGGCTCCTAGTGAGGATCGAACTCACTACTCAGTCGTAATTGTCCTAGTGAGACAAACTTGCTATTACACCACCTGGAGGTGCCCAAAGTAACGTATTATAGTAACATATTATAGTAACGTATATAGTAACGTTTTATACTAACGTAGTATAGTTACGTATTGTAGTAACGTATATAGTGACGTAATATAGTAACATATTGTAACGTATTAAAGTAATTTATTATAGTAACGTATTAGATAACTTCAAATAATAACAAGTGATTTATTTTTCATTTGGACGTTTAAACATTGAGTTGCTAAAATATAAGTCTTGATTTTATTCGCTATTTATATCCAAATCTATTGCACTTGTCGGAATTATGAAAAAACAAAAAGAAAGAAAATGCCCAATTAATTTCATACTTAGCGGTTATCCAACTCCTTAACAAAGGTTTGGAAAAAAAAGTCTTTAAAACCAAAACAACAAATATATACAAAAAAGCAAAGAAAAAACTACTGGCATGCAGGTATTGTTAGCATTCCTCTTTCGCAAATCGTCGTTAGGGACTTAAATACTCATTAAGTGCGACATCAATTAAGCCTTGTGTCTAAGTTGGCTATATGCAAGAACTATCGATGTGATTCTAAATGATTTTGAGCAGTCGAACCAATTTCAAATAGAGGTCCTCTCTTCTTGTCGCGTGTCTTGTAAAAGGTATGACTCTCCTTATACTCTATCCAATAACCAGACATTTTGATTATAATATTGCTATGCTACAGGAAATAGCGGGTAAGTCATCACGCGAGTAATATAATCTATCGTAATTATCTGCCGAGGCAATTGCCACAAATTATATTTTCACAGTGGAACCGAAGATTTAGAAATTTAATGAATTATTTAATATCTAGCTTAATTTTCCTTTAGTACATAACAGTACTCTGGTCTTTGTCGAAGTTAAGTAACTAATATTATTTATGAAAAAAATCCAACTGTTAATAAAATCAAATAAAAAAAATATCCAGAAGCTAGGCGATAATACATGGTTTGTAACATTTTAACGTCTTCATGGCAACGGAACTCGTCTAGCAGTTGAGTCTGGAGATTATGGAAGCCTAGAAGAATAATTTGTAAAGACTCCTACCAAAATATTCACGACGAGTCATATTTCTATATTAGTATGCAACAGAAGAAGAAAAAAAATTAAGTAAATTTTTTAAAAAGCCTGTGGTTGCAGACAGATTTGTATATTACTGGCTTACAGATGAAGAGTGGTTGTTTATGCGCAGGCGCAGAGGAAACTCTTATTTTTAAAAAAAGGTTAGATGGGAACAGAAAGAAAAAGCTGAGATCATGTCTATATGAATAACTTTTATAAGAATGAAAAATGTGTGTTTTAAATCCAAATTAACAAATGTTTTATATATATATATATATATATATATATATATATATATATATATATATATATACACACACACACATACACACACACATATATATATATATGATTAATACAAATATTGATGTTATATCCAGCACACCGACTCCAGAGTTTTGTAGATGTATCTTTGTATAATCCACTCGTCAGGAGATATTAGCAAATGTCTACCGATTCTCTCATTTTCGTTATTTTTATATTAACTTAAAAAATGCGCTTTTTAATGATGTTAGGTTGATGTTTTCATCTTTGTGGGTGGGTGTATGCGTATGTGGAGGGGGTTTACGTTGTGTATGTGCACATGTGTAGAATAACGTGGTTATTTCTTATAACGTATATAGTCGTATATACAGAGAGACTGTTTATATCTATTACAACTTATCAGTGTGGCTAGACATGCGATTGCGTCAAGCCGGGATCGAAATAAGACCGATCTGACATCAGTCGGAGACACTCACCCTTAGGCTATCAGCGCATGGAATTTTTACCGCATTATATGCGAGATATAAGCATTACCGGCTACCAGAGTACTCAATTCATAGCGAAGACAACAAATTCACTTTCTTCGAAATTGCTAAACCTACGAGAAAGGGTATATATATATATATATATATATATATATATATATATATATATATATATATATATATATATATATAAAATAAATAAATAAATATAAATAAATGTCGTGTAAGAATACAAATACATATATTCTTTGGTGTAAGAAAAACAGTGCTCAATATTAAATAACAGTGTTATTAAGTATATATTTAAAAAATGCATAATACTCGACAGTACGACTCAGAGTACTGCAGGCGTGAGAGTTATGTATTTTTAGGAATATATATATATATATATATATATATATATATATATATATATATATATATATATATATATATATATGTGTGTGTGTGTGTGTGTGTGTGTTATTACTATAATTAATTTTACCGCTTAAGTAAAATAACGTAATATTACCATTATATTTAATTTCACAGTTTAAAGAAAAATAGATTAACAGCTCAAACACGTGTAACTACTAAAATAACATCTACAGTAATAACAAAATTATGTCGCAATATATATATATATATATATATATATATATATATATATATATATATATATATAAGGATATAAGGATGATGATTGGCAGTGCATTTAAATTTTTGAAGGTCGTAGTTTACAGGAAAGCAGGAATCCGAAAGAGAGTTTCAAAAGTGAAAAGTGCGGAAGAAGAAACTCTTAGTACAGAACTTACAGTTACAAATAGGAATGTCAACAGTCAAATTATAAGACCTAACTGCCAATCTAGTAGTAATTTGTGAAGTCATGGTGCCAGAGTTGAAAGCAATATTTATTTTATAAAGATACAGAAATGTGGCACAAGGCCAAAAGGAGCCATGTGGAAGGCTGGTCTTCTGTCTTATAATTAAATCTAGCTGGCCAGAATTAGCGACCCAAACATATCATATTATTCCATACACTAAAACAACACATTCTTACTTAATATTCTTACTAAATCCACCATAATACATCAAAGTCCCTATGAAGTCCTTACTAGTCCCCATATGTACAATTTTCCCAAAGTGAAAAGCTCATCAGAACAATTATCATGAAAATATTTACAGAGGACGCAAAGTCAGGGCGATGGGATAATGAGTGAAGGCTAGTTCAGGACTAATATCCTTTCAAGTTCTTTGGATTTTGTCAAGAATCTCTAGATATATAGAAGAAGCACAACGTCAGATATGGCAGCAACATTGGATGTACAAACGAATTGTAAACTTATAAATGTATAAGATTGATTCTGGCGAGAAAAATGTCTAGAACGACAGAAAAAAAATCTGTAATTCTAACGCCGAAGATCTCCCTAAAAGCTCTCAGAAAAAAAAATAATGCTTCGTAGTTGAAATGCAAAGAGAAATAAAAATAAAACTAGAAAATAGTGCCGATCGAATTGACGTCACCAGAATTGGCAACTTGCACATAAATCTTTTTTTAATCATTCCATCCAAAGTAACGCAATAGAACCACTAAGTCGCAAGGGGTTACTAAGTGTTAGAGAATATGAGAAAACACTCTTAAGCAGAAAAAACAATAAAAAAAAACAACAAGAATTATGAAGATAGAATATAACGATTGACATTGCGTTTAAATTTTTGAAAATAACAGTTAACTGAGAAGTAAGAAACCCGAAGAAAGTTCAACAAGCGAGAAGTACGACAGAATAAAATTCAATTGTAAAATGATGAGACCTTGCCGCCAATCTAGTAATATGCTTAAATTCATAAAGTCTAGGTATCATAGAGGAAGGTTCATCAGAACAATTACCCTGAAAGTAGTTATAGAAAATGAATAGGTGGGGGGTATTCGTTACGGTGATGAAAAAGTGACTGAAGCCGAGATGCCATGTCAGGACTAATAGCATTGTAGATTCTTCTTTAAAATTTATTAAGAATCCCTAAATATATAGCAGGAGCAGCAGATTTGGCGACAATATTCAAATCAAAGACGAATGGTAGACTTATAAATATGTAAGATAGATTCTGGCGAGAAAAATTGTTTAGCACGATACAGGGAATCAACTTTCATAACAGCGGACCTATGGTGGATGTAGTAAGAATGGCAAGTAAGAATGTGTTGTTTTAGTGTATGGAATAATGTGATATGTTTGGGTCAGTAATTCTGGCTAACTAGATGTAATTATAAGACAGAAGAAGACCATCCTTCTTCCATGCCTCCTTTTGGCCTTGTGCCACATTTTTGTGTCTTTATAAAATAAATATTGCTTTCCACTCTGCTTCCGAACCTAGGAATTGATTCAATATAATCTTTCCACTTCATGTCAGTGGAGAGCGCTAATCTAAGAAGTCGCAATATGTCACACTCGTGGGGTTAGCATCAGCCATGCTTATGGAAGGTAAAAAGGGTTATCTCAGACGATTATCTGTTACATTTAAATTATTTACATTATACGGACTATAGTCTTCATCTTTGTCGCCATATTCATTACAACGTTTCGGCCGTTGTACGCTCCGGCCTTCTTCAGGTGGTTGGAATGTCGAACTGAACCCTTTATTTCGATCACTGGGGTAGACTGTTCTAGTACCACGTGCCATGTTTAATGGATGTAAGTTATCAGTTATCTCCTGTTAATTTCTCTCTGAAAGTTCTCCACTGCCTTAACCGGGTATTGAACTCACACTCTTTGGGTCATGTCACTGGATCTAACCAACGCCTTTATCCACTGTGCCTTGAGGACATCTGGGTATGAATTTCTGGGTATTATAAACCTAATATCTTCAGCAACCATTTTTACCAGTGCTCATATTGCAAACAAGGAAAGAAAAAAGAAAAAACAACAAAAAAACAAAAACAAAACAAACAAATAGCAAACATCTACCTACGCATTAAATTAAAGTGCTCAACGCCTAGACAATCAAGCTAGTGCAAAAAAAAAAAAAAAT